AAAGGCCGAGAGGGATAAAACGTAAGCAGCAGGTGACAAGATACTTTTGACAATGAAGAAGCATGGAGTTCCTCATGAGGAAGTGAAGGAGGGAAATAAAATAAAGAAAGTAAATAAATAAAAACAAGCCACAGCAGGAAGAAAAGGGAAGGAAGCTCTTTATTTCTGCCCACAACATTATTCCAGACTTTTTAAAAACTAGTCCACACCGCCATGATGATATAGCAATTTTTAAAAAAGGTGTTAGCTTTCCTTTTATGGGCACAATTAGCTAAGAAAAACATTCAGTGCTTGTTTGGTACATGACAATCCATTTCCCCACCCCAAAAGCTGGAAGCATGTTTTGATTTTGCAAAAGCCGAAACAATTAAGAGCTGGAAATGAAAGTTATACAACCACGTTTTCCAAAAAACAACACTTCTGAACGGAAGACAAGGACATCCAGGCGAGGAAGCAATCAGTGGAGACAGGGAATGGTCTGTCCCACGATGCTCCATGGTTGGGGGTGGCAGGGGAAGACCTGCCATTCAGAACTGGAGGAGTCACTTTCGATCTTTCGTGGCTACAATGTTTACTTGATTCGTTATGCATGACAAATGCCTCGATTTTTAAAAATTAACTTACACTATTTCATAAAGGTCCGTTTCCAAAAAGCAGCTGTAGGCATCCGCTTTGACATTCCCACCTTCCTCGTACACACTCATGAGGCAATTCCTTCTTTCAGGTGATGCCAACGATAATGTATATTAACTTGTGAAGAGCCTAGCTCTGCTCATTTAGTGCGACCGCCTCCCTTCAACCTGCAGAGGTCATCAAGAACCATCACTGTTTACCTGCATTGACAAATATGGAAAAATACCAAAAGACTGGGGGCTGGCAATTATTGTCCCCATCTATAAAAAGAAAGGGAATCAGGATGAGCCTGCAAACTATAGACCCATCAGCCTCCTCAATACCATCGGCAAAATAGAATCATCGAATTGGAAGAGACCTCATGGGCCATATACTCCAACCCCATTCTGCCAAGAAGTAGGAAAATTGCATTCAAAGCATCCCCACAGATGGCCATCCAGCCTCTGTTTAAAAGCCTCCAAAGAAGGAGCCTCCACCACACTCCGGGGCAGAGAGTTCCACTGCTGAACAGCTCTCACAGTCAGGAAGTTCTTCCTAATGTTCAGATGGAATCTCCTCTTTTGTAGTTTGAAGCCATTGTTCCACGTCCTAGTCTCCAGGGAAGCAGAAAGGAAGCTTGCTCCCTCCTCCCTGTGACTTCCTCTCACATATTTATACATGGCTATCATGTCTCCTCTCAGCCTTCTCTTCTTCAGGCTTAAATGTACACAAAGCATCTTCAGTGGAAACTACTGGACTGGATGGAGAAAGAGAATATACTTGCGGAGAAGCAAGCCGGCTTCAGGGGAGGACAATCCACCATTGACCAACACATAGTATTTCAACATCTCATAGAAAAATACTCCTCCCACAGGTCATCTTCTCTCTATGCTACGTTTATAGACTTCAGAGCAGCTTTTCATTCCATCTCCTGTACCAAGCTATGGGAAAAACTTAGATCCACCTCAATAGACAGACGACTCCTGCAACTAATACGAACAGTCCATGAGGGAACTCCTCTGAAAGTAAGATGCAGTCCCCAGGGCCGCTTCCACATAGCTGAATAAAATCCCATATGTTCTGCTTTGAACTGGAATACATGGCTGTGTGGACTCAGATAACCCAGCTCAAAGCAGATAGTGTGGGATTTTCTGCCTTGACATTCTGGGTTATATTACTGCGTGGAAGGGTCCCAAGTGGTCAAATCTAGGAAAGGCTTCAAGCAAGGATGCCATTTGCAAGATCACCGCACACTGCACACTGCACTTTTATTATAATCCCACACCCCTCTGACACATCAGCACTTTTAACCTTGTACCCTACTTCGGCCGACTCAGTTTTTAATAATGTCTTGTCGTGTTGCTAGTGTTATTGTTTTTGCTTGACTGTTTTATTTGCTATGTATTGTATTGCTGTATTGTTTTTGGGCTTCGGCCTGTTGTAAGCCGCATCGAATCCTTCGGGAGATGCTAGCGGGGTACAAATAAAGTTATAATAATAATAATAATTTGGCCCAGCTATTATTCAATTTCTATATTAACTCCTCTGTGGAACACCTTTACACTGCCATATATTCCAGTTCAATGCCGATAATGTGGTATTTTATTCAACTGTGTGGAAGGCACCTCAGACTGGCTTCCTCTTTCTATCTGGACTTCCCTCCTGGTTCTGCCAGTAAGAAAGAGCAGCGGTGGTCCCTCAGAGCTGGACAGGTTTTGGGTGCATCACAACGGGACAGGGAATAGCCTCCTAATGCCCCTCCCCAAAAGAGACACATGTGCTTGTATTGCATAAGTTACTAACAGGAGTGCAGGCAAAGTATATTTATTCCACACTTATTGTTTTTCTCTTATGCAGAGCACATTGATTTAATCTGAACATAGTATCAGTGAGGATTTTTAAAATCAGATACAAATCCTAAGATCATCCTTTTAACTGCCAATTAATTCTAAAGTAGTCTATTCCCATCAGAAAAGCAAATCACCTCAAGGTGTTTTCGATTTCTCCCTGCAATGTAAAATATTCTGAAAATCTGAACAGGCAACAAGTCAGTGAAAGACAGTGAAGAAATCTTCAAATGGATGTACTCTTTTTCCTCTTCTCTTCTCTAATAGATCTGATGGTCATATTAGGGAGAGGAAAACAAAGAAATCCTTTACATTGGGACAAGAGACAGAAACCAGAAGAATTTGATCCAGCTGGAAGATGGAATGGGGAAGAGGGGACTGAAGAGCTGGTGACAAGAAGTTGGGAGAATTCCTTCAAGGATTTCAGTAGAAATAAACATCCCTTCTTCTTCCAAATTAACATTTCACCAGAGTTGAGTGCGACAAGCGAAGGCGCATTACAGAGACCCCAGAGACTGCTTCCATCATGAAGTGTGGGACCGGATAGCAATACAAATTGTGTGCAAAGTGATGAAGGAGAGCTGCCATCCAGGACTAGAGGCTTGGAAAATGTATTTACAGACCCATCATCTAATAGGCATGGAAAAAGCTAGATGGCTTAGGATGGAGGCTACTTTCCCAGAAAAAAAGTTTGAGCTGAGCTGGGAAGGTATGGGACTCTGTTCTAGCCAATCCTATTGCAGCTGGGTGTCCCTGCCTCCACCAAGCAAGAGAACTGCAGCTGCCACCAGAATTGCTCATTGAACAAGTAAGGTAAGTTCAAGGTTTTCCCCTGACATTAAGTCCAGTCGTGTCCAACTCTGGGGGTTGGTGCTCATCTCCATTTCTAAGCCAAAGAGACGGCATTATCCATGTCATGTGGCTGGCATGACTGCATGGAGTGTTGTTACCTTCCCACTGGAGTGGTACCTACTGATCTATTCACATTTACATGTTTTCAAACTGCTAGGTTGGCAGAAGCTGGGGATAACAGCGGTAGCTCACGCCGCTCCCTGGATTCAAACCTGCGACCTTTCGATCAGCAAGTTCAACAGCTCATTTAAAATGGAGAGGAAGGAGGAAAACATTTTCCCATGAGACCCATCTCTTCCTTCTGAACCCATTCCCTGTGAATTTCTGCGTGAGGTTGGGAGGGAAAATATGCCTCCAAATAAGATTCCCAATCACAAGGCTTAACCCTGTTCCCTCCCACTGCCATTTATTTACCTTGCTGTGGGATTCCTAGATGGGCACAGCAGACCCTGAAAGAAAAGAGGAGGAAAAGTGGCTTAGCCTCTCCTTCAGTAGCACAGTTGACTGAGAGTTGCATTCAAAAGATTCAAACAAGTTAGTAGTCTGGGGATTGAACTCAATTGGGTTCATGGATGGTGGTAAAGATTTACAATGACAACTATCTCCACTATCTGCTCTATGGCTGTAAGTCCAGAGTCTAGGACTCTTTGGCTCTGAGGTGCCAGATTGTAAACCATATGCACCTTCAAGGACTGGGCCATTGCCCTCAACAGGAGGGTGGTGGAGATTGCAGGAGATGGAAAGCTTTCCTTTACTTGCCTAGAAGCCTATACAAAGCTGGGAGATAAAAGGCTGGGGAAGGGTGTAGATCAAACACAACCATGGACTTGCAAGGGGAAAGCTTTGTCTTCTTCACTTGCAATTCCTTCTACCATTCTTTCTACTTCTCACTTACCTGTCCCAGAGCTGTTGGAATCTTGGTCACGAACTGAAAAGGAAAGAAAAGACAGGGAAGAGGTCAGTGGTTGGACATAAATGTTTGTCCCTTTTTTTCTGAAAATAAACATGTGCACATGCATGGAATGAGAGAATTGGAAGAGGCCACCAGGGCCACCCAATTCAACCTCTGCCATGGAGGAACATGTCGTCAAAGCACTCCTGGCAGGGAAGGCAGCGCCACTGGACTCCGAGGCAGTATATTCCACTGCAAACTGCTCTTACCATTAGGAAGATCTTCCTAATGTTTAGGTGGAATCTCTTTTCCTGCTATTTGAATCTATTGCTCCAGAGCAGCAGAAAACATGCTTGCCCCCTTCTCAATGTGACAGCCTTTCAAATATTTAAACATAGCTATTGTGGATTGACCTTGAAGGAGCTGGGGGTGGTGTCGACCGACAGGGAGCTCTGATGTGGACTGGTCCAAGAAGTCACAAAGAGTTGGAAATGACTGAATGAATGAACAACAACAATCTCATCTAAACAAAGTACTGCATCTTCTATTTCTTATCTGGGCTCTTGTGTGTGATTTTTTCCCATTATATCCTTTAAAATCTGTTGGAAGCCACCTTGAGCCCTGAACAGGAAAATAGATGGGAAATGAGTATAACTACAGTAAGGAAAGCAAATTGATGGTGTGCCTTAGAGCCATAAGCAAGCAGAAGACCATGTACTTCAACCCTGCACAAGATTTTGGCTTCCAGGCTTCTATGTGTCCAGAGGAGGGCTACTGACATGATTGAAGGCCTGGAAGCCATAAAGCCCTATGAAGAGCAACAAGAACCCGCCTTTCACAATAGAAAATCATCAGGTGTTGTTTCAATTTTATTCCTTCAGCCAAAAAAGCCTTCTCCTTGGCTTAAACCAGTGGTTCCCAACCTTTGGGCCTCCAGGTATTTTGGATTTTAGCTTCAAATGTTTCTAACAGCCGGTAAGCTGGTTGGGATTTCTGGGAGTTGAAGTCCAAAACACCTGAAGGCCCAAAGGTTGGGAAACACTGGCTTAAACCCTTGGAGACATAGCAGCACGTCTCTCAATTCATCTACCTCCTTCCCATTCCCACCTCATCCACCTAGAGGAAACCTGCAACAGGGAGGCAACACTCACCTGGAGCTTCTTTGTAGACATTTTGTCGTTGTTCTGCAAAGAAAGAATCAGGGAGTTAAAGCTGACCCTGAGAGATCAACACCATCTCATTCTCTGATGGAGAAGACCACACACCCTCCTCCTCCTCCTCCTCTCCTCACAGGGTTTCTCCCTTTCCTTCCCAACAACCAGCAGGGATAGAAGTCTTCCAGCATTTTAGGAAAGACATTGGCAGAGATGGGAGAGCATCCCCAGGCATCAGACTGAGACTCAAGATCATGATATGGACTGAGAAGAGGAGGACCATATAGTCCAGGCCACCAAGTTGTTGGTTAAGCTGAACCTCAAGGGGAGGGGGCTCTTCAACAGGATTCCTCCATAACTACAGACTGCCTCCTCCTCCTCACAAGGAAATACTCACTGAAATACACAGCAATCCCAGCTGCCAGGAGAAGGACGAGAACACCAACGACACATGCAATGATCACCCACAGGTTGGAGGCTGAAGGTGAAACAGGGAAGAACAAACCAATTAAAAGGAAATCCCCAAGTCAAACCCTTTATGGAGCAATTTGTAGATAGGAAAAAAAAGAACTGAGGAGTTCATGGAGTCCAAGGCTAAAGTGTGTATGTAGGGAATGGTCCCGCTCCTATGATCCTCTGTCAGAGTTTGCAAAGCTGGATGTGGGGATTTCCCTTCACAAAGAGAAGCCATTGTGGAACATCAGCCAGATACAGCTCCATTATGCCTTGGCCACATTGGCTGGTGAGAGACCCCCCCCCCCCCCATGTCCCGAAAGCCTTTGCTTTGGCCTCTGAGACAGGGAATAGCAGCCAGACATACTAGACTTCACATTCCCTCCGCACTGCCATTCCCTTTTCCTTGTGTATTTAGAGGTTAAATCTGATGGCAACATTTAGTGATTTGTAAAAAAAAAATGGTACAAATACACACATATTGCTAACAACTACATACCCGGGGCTTTCATGGCAGACTCTGCAGTGCTATGAATGGTGCCTTGGAGGGGGGCTTCTTTTGCCACTCCCAAACCCTCTCCCCTCCCTCCAATGACTCACCAGGCTCCTCCCAGGCCACGTCCACAGGTTTCAGAAGCCCATCATGCTCCACGTGGCATTTGTAGCGTTCCTTCTCCTTGGGGTCCACCTTGATGCTCCTCCAGGTGTAGTAAGTTCCATCCGAGTTGGGGGACACCAGGCCATGGTAGGTATCTTGCAGCCAGACTTCTCCATCCCTCGTCCAGTCGATGTCAATCTCCTTGGGGTAGAAGCCCCCCACGCGGCAGATCAAGGTCTCCATGCCATCATAGTCCTCCTTGCGTGTCACTGTCACTTCTGGCTTCTCTGTAAAAATGACATGAAAATTAGCACAGGGCCTTTGCAAATGACAGTAAAAGTCTCTAGTTTCAGGTAAGCAAGTTATAATAAATATTTATAAAACTTTATTTATACCCCACTCCATCTCCCCCAGGGGTGGCTTACATGAGGCCACGCCCATCAACACAATTAACACAGTATTAGAAAAACATAACAAAACCAGAAAATAAAATACATAAAATGCAAGAACCAATATAACAGACGACACAGCAATATAAAATCAAACATTAAAACACAAAGGAATTTCACTGGGCGGGGTCAATTCAAAAATAGATATTTAAAAATTTAAAAACACTGGGAGATAGGGCAATGTAAAATTGTCAGGAAGGGGGATCCGGGGATGAGGAAGGATTTAATTGCACGAACCATAAAATAAAGTGCTTCTGAGGTCATTTTGGTCAGGGAGTGTCCTACATTCAATCTTTGAAGGCATAGTGAAATAACCAGGTTTTCAGGTTCCTCCTGAAGATTGCCAGCGTGGGGGCTTGCCTAATATCTCTGGGGAGTGAATTCCAGAGCCACACACAGAGAAGGCCCTTTCTCTTGTCCTCACAAGTAACACTTGCGATGTGGGTGGGAGCGAGAGAAGGGCCTCTCTGGAAGAATGAAGAGGTCGTGTGGGTTCGTAGACGGAGATGCGGTCGCGCAGGTAGGCGGGTCCCAAACCATTCAGGGCTTTGTAGGTCAAAACCTGCATCTTGAATTGGGCCGGGAAGATAAATGGCAGCCAGTGGAGCTCCTTAAACAGGAGGGTTGACCGCTCTCTGTAATTCGCACCAGTTAATAATCTGGCTGCCACCCGTTGGACCAATTGGAATTTCTGGGCCATCTTCAAGGGCAGCCCCAAGTAGAGTGCATTGCAATAGTCTAATTTAGAGGTAACTAAGGCATGGACCACCATAGCCAAATCCAGTATTCAGTATTTTCCCCCTATAATTAAAAAAATCATGTCAAAGAAGAGGATTCACAAGCACCTTGAGGATGCTTTGAAAAATCCCAACCACAGCACAATAATTCCTTTGTTTCAGGGTGTAAAGCCCAAAGGAAAATGAGAGTCCATGGCCTTGCTATTTTCCATTGGATGGATTTTGGTCAATAAGGCCATGCTCAGGGGCTCCCTGTTCTTATGGGGTCTGAAAAGCTGTCTCCATCTGAAAGGAAATGACACTCTTTACATGCTCTGATTCATTCTAAGAAGCTCTTCTCTTCAGCTCCAGAAGAGTCAGATCAGGAATCCCCCTCTCTGCCTCTGTCTGACCTCCTTGCTCAGTAAATCCAACCACTCTGATCACTTGGAAGTGTTTCCACAAAAGTGGCTGCACAAGCCTGTTGAAGCATATAAATTAGGAGGAAGGGATGAGGAGACAGAGTGGCCGCAGATTGAAGATTAACTGGTTTTTATTTTAGAGTGAGTTTCCAGGGATGTAAAACTACTTCTTTAAATGCACTAGAGCAGCATTCCTTAACCGGGGGTCAAGACCCTGGGGAGTGGGGGTGGTGGTTCAAAAGGGGTCACTAAAGACCATCGGAAAACTCAGCCTTTTCTGTCAGTCATGGGGGTTCTGTGTGGGAAGTTTGCCCAATTCTATCATTGGTGGGGTTCAGAATGCTCTCTGATTGTAGGTGAACTACAACTCCCAAATGTCAAGGTCTATTTTCCCCAGATCCCACCAGTGTTCACATTTGGGCAAATTGAGTATTCGTGTAGAGTTTGGTCCAGATCCATCATTGCTTGAGTCCACACTGGTCAATGCCCAACCAACTCTTTTGAGTGTTTTCTGTTGGTCATGGGATTTCTGTGTGGGAAGTTTGGTTCAATTCCATCATTGGTGGAGTTCAAAATGCTCTTTGATTGTAGGTGAACTATAAATCTCAGCAACTACAACTCTCAAATGACAAAATCAACTCCCCTCCCAAACCCACCAGTATTCAAATTTGGGCCAAATTTGGTCCAGTGAACGAAAATACACTCTGCATATTAGATATTTACATTATGATTCATAACAACATCAAAAAGACAGTTATGAAGTAGTAACAAAAATTATTTTCTGGTTGGGGGTCACTACAAGGAACCATATTAAAGGGTTGCAGCATTAGGAAGGTGGAGAAACACTGACCTAGAATGATATTAAAGCATTCCCACAACTGCATAAATGTGCTTTATAACCTGATATTTTAATACCATTCTGCACTTCATCTGAAGAACTGGGTTCACTTGCATGAAAGTGCTAGCTAGACTAAAGTCTAGTTGGTCTTAAATGAGGTGCTGCCACATTCCCCCTTTCCTCCCCTTCTCTCTTATGGGGTGCTCCTGTTTCACTTTCTGGCAGGATTTGCCCATTGAGGAGAAAGGTGGAGAGGGTGGACTGTCTCCCTTCAGGCTGAAAGGGGAAAGGAGGCTCAGTGTTTGGAAGGTGCTTCATCTTAAACGGGATCCAGCCTCCTGCAAGGAAAACATGGAATGAAGCCTCCTTCTGCCATGTGTCTTTCCAAATCTGGGAAAGTGTTCCAAGATGCCCCCCTCCCCTCCTTGCTGCAAAGGCTGAAGAGGAAGGGTCCAGGCTCCCACCCTCCCTTTCCTGCCTTCCATTGACATACAAAATGTGGGGGGTGAGAAGGAGATGAAGCCCCTGCAGCCCTCCTCTCCCTCCCCACCCCCATCATGGTTTTCATGAGACTCCCTTCACCTGTCCTCAGCAGGGTCTCCTTCCCATACTCCAGGTATCTCTGCAGCCACTCAATGCAGGTCCCTTCCATGTAGTCCTTAGCAAACTGGACATTGGCCCGTTCAGCTTCCCACTTCCTCTTGGTGTTCTGGGCTGGGACATCGGCTGCCGTCCAGGTGAGGGTCTCCTTGTCAAAACTGATGTAGTCCCTCCCATCATAGGCATACTGCTCATATCCTCCTCTGCTCCCGTCTCTCCTCAGCTCACAGCCGTACATCCACTGCCAAGTGTGAGTCCCTGGAAAGGAATGAGACCCCCAGAAAGGAAGGAGGGAGGCAAGAGAAGGCCATTAACAAAGGCAGACAAGGGCACTTTTGAATGGCTGGAATCAGATGTCTCTCTCACATTTCTCCCAAATGTTTAGAGATTCACAATGCTCTTATTTTCATGAACTAAGAATTCAAATTGTTACTTTGACAGTTCACTACAACTCCACATCTGTCAGAATGACCTGAAACTGGATAGTCACATGGGAGAAAAGTTAGTTTCCAGCATGCAAAAGCTCACTTTTCTATCTTTCTTAATGGCTGGGAAAACAAATGTGGGGCATTATCTTTTAAACCATCCTCATGGCCTCTCTAGGAATCTCCGGGTCCTCCACAGGTACTCTATGGTCTTACTTTCTACTGGAAGTTGTGCTTTAAGACCTGGATTCCTACAGAGTGGACTCTTAGGTTAAAAATAAGCTTTTATTTAAAAAATGTATGGTTTTGCCACTTTTGCCAAGGCCCTGCACCCCAACCCCTGCCAATAATGAATAATGCAAGTAAAAACCAGAATGGCTCCTGGAATATGCTGTTGCTTTGTGTGATTATAAGTAATTGTTTTTAATTGTGTTGATTATAAGTAATTGTTTTCCAGGAGTCCCCGGTGGCTCAATGGGTTAAACCCTTGTGCCGGCAGGACTGAAGACCAACAGGTTGGATGTTTGAATCTGAGGAGAGGGCAGATGAGCTCCCTCTGTCAGCTCCAGCTCCCTATGCGGGGACATGAGAGAAGCCACCCACAAGGATGGGAAAACATGAAAACATCATCTGGGCATCCCCTGGGCAATGTCCTTGCAGATGGCTAATTCTCTCACACCAGAAGCAACTTGCAGTTTCTCAAGTTGCTCCTGGTTTTTAAGCTTCATATATCTTAATTATGTATATGTAGTTTTATTTTATGTATGTATCCATGGCATAGAATTGATCCTTTGCTGTGAGCAGTCCTGAGCCCCCTTTGGGGTGAGAAGGGCGGGATAGAGAGGCAATCAACAAAATAAATACATCAATAAATAAATAAATAAGCAGGCTTTCTTGTACTTTAACCTGTATTGGTTTTAACCACATAGAAACTGCATTGAATCAGAGTATTGGGGGGGGGGGGGGGGGGGGGTTGGGGGGTTGGGGGTGTGTGTGTGTGTGGATTCTCCACAATTTGAACAAATGTAATAGAAAATCATGACAATGGGCTTTGCTTCATTCCTGGATACCAATTTCTGTGAGCACCATTTACTAAAACATGAAGCTATTTATGTTCTGTGAAGCTCATTTTGTAACACCATCCTAGGCACGTTCACTTATAAGCAAATCCCAGACTAAACTGTTGGCGTTTCGGAGGAAGGTTAAGACATGGCTATATGAACAAGCGTTTGGCTAACCAGTACTATAGAGCACAGGAAGACGGTAAAATTGAATATAGGAATGGCATAAGGATTGAGAATCGGATTCTGATTGTTATTGAGGCGTTTATTTGTTAATTGTTTAATGTTGTCGAGTCTGATGTTTGTATGACGTGTTTTAATCGATTGTAGATTGTTGTTATAATTATACCTGTAAACCGCATTGAGTCGCCTGTTAAGGCTGAAAAATGCGGTATAGAAATGAAGCAAATAAATAAATAAATAAATAAACTGAATGGGGCTTCCTCTCAAACACTTCCTGGGGGGGAGGGGGGGGGGAATGTAAATTTGTACATTAATTGAAGGTTCTAATAGAAAATCCCCTGAATGGCAAAACTTAAAACCAATCAAGCCCAAAGTGGAATATGACAGAAGAGCGTGGGGGTGAGAGGCATGGGTTTGATTTTTATTTCCTGTCTCCAGGTACCCGGAATCCTCACTTCCCAAGATGCCTTTGCTCTTCCTTTTCCCACTCACAGAAACAGGCTGCCTGGAAGTGCCCCCCCTTTCCCTTGTAAGGCAGTGCATCCCTCCTCTCTCTGGGATCTCTCTCTGGGTGAGGAGGGGGGCACCTCTTATTTTAGGGCTGGCTTTAGCACAGTAAGTTAATCACCAGCTTCAGCTGCAGTCCATCTTGCCAGCTGAAAGGTTGACAATTTGAAGCTTGGTCAGGGTGAGTGCCTGACCTTCAGCCCAGCTTCCCACCCACCTAGCAGATTAAAAACAGCAATGTGAGTAGATGAATAGGAACTGCATGAAGCAGGGAAGTATTTTAGGCATGGCGTTTGGGAGGAAAGTTTGCAAATAAAGAAAGCTCTTTGGCAAGGAGATGGAGCAACAGCACCCCCTGTGGCCAGAACTGAGCACAGACTCCAAAAGATGCCGAATTATTGGAAAAAGCCTAAATATCTGTTGTCTGCCTTGTCATTGTGTAATCGGCATTGAATGTTTTCCATATATGTGTTCTGTGCTATTCCCTGAGTCCCTTTGGGATGAGAAGGGCGGAATAGAAGGACTACAACTAAATAAAAGAACAATAATGTTACTCTCCCAGCCTTGGGGGGACCTTCCTCTAGAGCAGTGTTTCTCATCCTGTGTCCCCCCCAGATGTTTTGGCCTTCAACTCCCAGAAATCCTAACAAATGGTCAACTGGCTGGGATTTCTGGGGGTCCTTCCACAGAGCCCTATATCCCAGATCTTAAGGCAGAAAACCCCACATTATCTGAATACTCAGATAACACAGTTCAAAGCAGGTATTGTGGGATTTTCTGCCTTGATATTCTGGGATATAGGGCTGTGTGGAAGGGCCCTGAGAGTTGTAGGCCAAAACACCTGAAGACCCACAGGTTGAGAACCACTGGCCTAGAGGTTTCTTTGGTGGAGATAGCAAAGAGGAGGCAACCCAGAGCTGCTCCTCCCTCTTCCAGGACGGCACTGTCAAGGAAGACTCTTCTGCCCTTGCTGCACCCCCCACTTGCCTTCTTTGGGCCTCCTCACCCTTGAGCATTTCCCCCCTTAATCCACTTTGCATGCTGTGACTGCCTCCTGCTGAATTCTGGGGCTTGTAGTTGAGGGAGGGCCAGGGGTTTGCTGGATGAACTGTTTAAAGACCCCCTCAATAAACTCCAAGCCCAGGAATTCTGCAGGAGGCAGTCATAGCATGGAAAGTGGATCAGTGTGGGGAAATGCTCCCGGGTGAGGAGGCCCTCCATCTCATCCACCTTTGCTTTCCGCTCCCTCTTTCTGAGAAGAAGAATGATTGTGGTGAGGGGAGCAGGGGCCCCCTCCTTCCCTTCCACTCACCTCCGCTCTGGTTGTAGTACCGGGCCACATTCACCAGGTCCGCTTGGAAGCCCAGCTCAGCATTCCGCACAATCTGGCTGTTCCGCTCCCAGTACTCAGGGTCCTCCTTGTCCACCTTCCTTATCCAGGGGACGGTAGGAATGCGCCTCTTGGCTTTGGCATCATAGGAAACAAAATGCTGGTCGTCCACGTAGCCCACAGCGAAAAACTGGGGCTCCTTCTCCCCAGGCTCAGAGACAGCAGTGTAGAAATAGCGCAGGGAGTGGGAGGAGGAGCCTGGGAAGGAGGGAGGAAGAAGGGGGCATTGTTGCAAGGTCCAGGAAGACAGATTTGGTGCCAGAAGGAGGCAAGAAGAGGGGCCACAGGGGCATGGCTTTCCATTTCATAATAATAATAATAATAATAATACCTGTATGGATACCCCGCCATCATCTCCCCAGGGGACTGGGGGTGGCTTACATGAGGCCAAGCCCAGCAACACATCAGTAAAAGAACAAAGCAGCAAGCAAGAAGCAAGGAAGGGCCCCCAAGGGGGTCCCCAGTGTTGCTTCCACCTGGGAAGGCCCTCCCTCCCCCCCTCCCCCCTCCCTCCCCCCTCCCCTTGACAATCCCCGCCAGGATAGGAAGAGACCCCTCTCCCCGCCCCACAAGAAAGAAAGAAGGAAGGAAGGCCAGGGCAGGGCTTCCCTCCAGGACCCTCAGGCTCAAGAGGGGGACACCCTAACACCCCCCCCCCCACACACACACACACACAGCCATTTCCACTCACCGGACCCCCTCCCCGTCAGGAAGGCCGCGCAGCCCAGCAGGAGGACGGGGAGAAGGGGGAAGGAAGGGCCGCCCCGGGACGCAGCCATCTCTCTCTCTCCCCTTCTCTCTTTCCTTTTTTCTCTTTCTTTCGGCCAAACTCCGGAGCGAAGGAGGAGCGCTTCTCTCTCTTCTCAGCCCAGCTGCGTACTGCCAGGGAGGAGCGCCAGGATTGGCCGAAAGGAAAGGAGCCGGCCAATCGAAAAAGAGAGAGCCCGTGTCGTCACCGGGTGCTGGGCAGAAGCCCGGCCGCAAGCGGACAAGAGGCTGGAAAGGGAAAGAGAAAGTGAGTGGATCCCAAGCTCTTTCGGGAATCCCCTCGGAAGGCAGGAGGGGGGCGGGGGGGGGGGGAAGAGTGGCGCTCAAAACTGAAGGCTTTCGGGAAGACTTTGAGAAATCCCAGGCCCCCGATGTCATAGAATCCTAGAATCCTAGAGTTGGAAGAGGCCTTGTGGGCCATCCCGTCCAACCCCATTTTGCCAAGAAGCAGGGCCTTCTCGGTGGTGGCCCCTCGCCTGTGGAATGCACTCCCCGGGGAAATTAGGTCATCAACATCCCTCCTCTCTTTCAGAAGGAAGTTAAAAACCTGGATATGGGACCAGGCCTTTGGGTAAGCTGGCAGATGGACAAAAGACAATGACGACCAGAGTAGGAAAGGACAATGACGATGCTGGATGGATTGCGGATTTATGAATTGGCGAACGTTGACCACAAGATGATTTTATTGCTGCCATTGTATTAATTTAATTGTTTTAACTAGTTTTAACTGTTGTTGTTATATTGTATTTTGGATATTGTAATTTGTGAACTGTTGGGCATCGAATTAAGCCGCCCTGAGTCCCCCCTAGGGAATTGAGAAGGGCGGAGTAGAAGCACTCCAAATAAATGAATGAATAAATAAATAAAATCACCTTCAAAGCCCCCAACAGATGGCCATCCAGCCTCTGTTTAAAAGCCTCCATAGAAAGAGCCTCCACACTCCGGGGCAGAGAGTTCCACTGCTGAACAGTTCTCACAGTCAGGAAGTTCTTCCTCATGTTCAGGTGGAATCTCCTTTCTTGTAGTTTGAAGCCATTGTCTCCAGGGCAGCAGTAAATAAGTTCGCTCCCTCCTCCCTAGGACTTCCCCACACATACTTATCCATGGCCCTCATCATGTCTCCTCTCTGCCTTCTCTTCTCCAGGCTAAACATGCCCAGCTCTTTAAGCCGCTCCTCATAGGGCTCCTCAAGTTGCAGGAAAGCAGCAGAAATGCCGCCTCCGCCAGAGATCTATTTTGTTCTGCTTCTCTCTGCTGAGGGTGGGAGGGGGTGTGTCTCCATGGCAACCAGGAGGGGAGGGGAGGGTGGTCCAGTGGCAAGGAGTTCCCCCCTCCCTTCCTCCCCTCCATCTGTCTGCCCTTCACTCCCTCTGCTCGTCTTCTTCCCTGCTGTGGATGCTGGGAAGAGCAGTCCAAAACCTCCCCCTTCCCCGGCTCTGGAGGACTCAACGAAACACCAGAAGAGACCAAGAAGAAGAAGCCCAAGCCCAAAACCCTTGGAGATGTCTCCAGAGTGGAAGACAATCGTTCTTTTTTCACTCATGGATATCAAACTGGCCTTCCAATAATAATAATAATAATAATAATAATAATAATAATAATAATAATAATAATAATAATAATAATAATAGTCGCTCTGAGTCGCCTTCGGGCTGATATGGGCAGGATAGAAATAATGTAAATAATAATAATAATAATCTTTATTTATACCCTGCCACCATCTCCCCAAAGGGGACTCAGAGCGGCTTACATGAGGCCAAGCCCAGCCGCGCATTACAAAACAATAACATCAAAACACTGAATAAACATCACAATCGCATAAATAAGATGCAAGAATACAGCTAGAAGATCCAACCAGTCCATACTTCAAGAAAGAAAGCCTGACTGGTCATTGGAGGGAAGGATATTAGAGGCCAAGATGAAGTCCTTTGGCCACATCATGAGAAGACAGGAAAGCTTGGAGAAGACAATGATGCTGGGGAAAATGGAAGGAAAAAGGAAGAGGTGCCAACCAAGGGCAAAATGGATGGATGGTATCCTTTGAAGGGATTGGATTGACTCTGAAGGTGTTGGGGGTGGCCACAGCTAACAGGGAGCTCTGGCCTGGGATGGTCCAGAAGGTCACCAAGAGTTGGAAGCGACTGAACATAGCTGAAACCAAACTTCCTCCACCCTTTTTTCCTTGACACCCTTTGAGATAGTTGAAAAAAGGGATTGGGGCACTTCTCCAAGATAAATACACCCAGCTTTTCCAGACCTTTGACCACCTTGATTTCTCTTGAAAGGACTACATCTCCCAATTCCTCTCTTGGCAGAAAGGGGGCTGGGACAGTGTGGCTCTGGCGCCCTCTAGTGTCCAGGCTGAGAACAGGCGCTTCTTCCCTCTGGCCTGATTTCCCAGAAAAGGAGTGTCCCTGAGCCCAGATTCAGCCCTTTGAGGCCTTGAAAGCCAAGCCTGGCCTCAAGTTGGAGCCTGTCCCTGGGGGGTTGCCTGGCTTTGTTCCCTCCCTCTCCATTTAAAAACGAATCATTCTTTTATTATCAGCGTCACATGTATTTCTGGAAGAAAATGCAAAGCATCACATGCTCAGGCACATTGCTTTGTGATGGCTGAAAGGGACTCCCATTTGGATTGGGACAACAATACCTTGCATATTTTCCCTCTCTCCTCACATTGTTACTGGTATCAGTTGCTCCTTCCTTATACAGTAGAGTCTCGCTTATCCGGCCTTGGCTTATCTGCCATTCTGTCTTATCTGACACTCTTATCCGACGCCCCCCTTTTCCTCCAGCATTTCCCCTTTAACTAAAGGAGTGCTCCCCAACTCTCTCCCCATTCCCAATAAGCAAAAGGCAAGAGGAGGAGGTGGAGGAGGGAGGAAAGGGGGACAGAGGCAGGACCAGAAGAAGCACCCTCCCTCCTTCCCTCTGTGATTTCCACACTCCTTTTCCGCATCCGGGCACTTCCTGCTGGAACTCTCTAGCCTGGAGGTGTTGCCTTGCTTTAACTTTTTGAATCCCTGTTGTTAGTATTCTAGGTGTCTAGCACTGCGCCGGATGGATAACAGTAGGAGACTCCGCATTATCTGACATTTTCATTTATCCAATGTTCTGTTGGTCCGTTTATGTCGGATAAGCGAGACTCTGCTGTAGTTTGATCAGAAAAATCCTTTTCCCAGCTCACCTTCCCAGCCTCCGAGGGCAGACATGTTACTAATCCCTCCTTCGTAACATACATGTGGGCCCCTTGCCATCCAGGATGGGTCACATCTTCTCACTCCCCGATCCCGCCCACAGAAAACCCCCAAACACCCCCTTTTCTTCCCTATGCAGAACCAATGAGAGCACACACAGACAAAAACATGTTCATTATCTTATTCCAGGGAAATCTTGGACATTTACAGTTTCCCCCCTCTTTTTCCTTTAATCTGAGTACCATTAAATAAACAATCCATCATTCAATACACAGTATTTGTAGCCCTCCAGTACTGGGGAGTTAGGCATCCTTTTCAAAAAAATCTCCCTGCAGACCCCTTTTGTTTGGTAAACAAGGGGGGAAGATGTGTGCCTTTCATCTGGCAAAGCAGAGTTGCTTTCAATGCTTCCATGTTTTTCTTGCAAACAGTACACAGCCCTCTCTGGCCTTTGACAACCATGTTCATACTTGCAAAAGAACATGTAATTCCCTTTTTCCCTCATTCAAATAAGTTTAACCAAGGGATCTCTTTAATTTACTTTAGAATCATAGAGTTGGAAGAGACCTCATGGGCCATCCAGTCCAACCCCCTGCCAAGAAGCAGGAATATTGCATTCAAAGCACCCCTGACAGATGGCCATCCAGCCTCTGCTTAAAAGCTTCCAAAGAAGGAGCCTCCACCACACTCTGGGGCAGAGAGTTCCACTGCTGAATGGCTCTCACAGTCAGGAAGTTCTTCCTCATGTTCAGATGGAATCTCCTCTCTTGTAGTTTGAAGCCATTGTTCATTGCGTCCTAGTCTCCAAGGAAGCAGAGAACATGCTTGCTCCCTCCTCCCTGTTGACACTCCTTTCCCCAACAGAGACACACTCTGAAGAAGGCTTCTTATCTCTGGGCAGAAGCGCATTCTCCTTCTTCTCTCCACCTTTCAGAAAAGAAGCCTAAAGGAAGCCTGGAGCAGGGAGGCTGCGGGTGGGGAAGTTTCCTGGCCAGGGCTTGAGGGGAGGGCCAGCGGGCACCCTGTCCTCTCTCCCAGGTGGAGGAGTATGGGCTCCCTTCCCTTCCTCTCCCCTTCCTTCTCTCTCTTCGGACTCATTCTGCCCATGAAGAAGAGCAGCAGTGGCTCCTCCAGGCTGGACAGACTCTGAGGGGCACAAAGGAACAGGAACAGCCCCCCAACTCCATCCAGAGGGAGACACATTCCCTTGTAAGTCACCCACAGGACTGCAGGCATTTCACATTTATGCCAGAGGGATTACTTTCCTCTTATGGAGAGCACAGTTTAGTTTAAAGGTAGTACCAATGAACTACTTTTAAAAGAATCAGATGAACAGCCTAAGGTCCTCCTTTCATCTGCAAAATGCATCCCAATATGCATAAACGTCATTTCAAGTCCAGCTCCTTTCGATGAAAAACATTCTTATCAGCTGGTCAGGGGACAAGGCAGTGAAGATGGGGGGAGAAACCCTCAAATGCTGAGACTGGGATGTCACTCTTCCTCTCTCCTCTTCCAAGGCCGATCTGTCACTTATGCTGAGGAAAGACAAACAAGGAAATCGGAATTAGACAGAATGCAAGGGAAAGAAAAACGTATTTTCTGAATCCAGTTTGGAAGAAGGAAGTTTTCTCCCAAAGGTTTTGAGTGTTTTTCTTACTTCTGCACGGCTTCTATGACAAACAGCCTGTATCATGACCTGAATCGTCATTTAATCCAATGTCCTCTATTATATTAACTGAATTGTTTCTGATCCTGTGAATTTGCTCTGTTTCCATGATATTTCCTATGCCATTATACATTGTTATCCACCTTACTAAACCACCTTATCCTTTAACCAGCTCATGTAGTGGCTTTCTCTCCCCCCCCCCCCCAAAATTAGTCTGCTGTTATTGTTGTGGCTAGCTATTACTGTTATGTTGTTTTACACTGTTTTAGGCTGTCTTAATTGCTAGTTGTGTTTTGCTTTGGGCTAGGGCCCCATGTAAGCCACCCTGAGTCCCTTCGGGAGATGGAGGCGGGATAGAAAAATAAAGTTCTACTTCCTCCTCCTCCTCCTCTTCTTCTTCTTGTTCTTCTTCTTCTTCTCTGTCCCACTCATTACATTTCACATATGCATAATTGTTAAGTAATGGGTATGTTTCGCTTGAAGAGAATAAGGCGGAAAGAAGGGGACATGAGAGCCATGTTTCAGTATTTGAAAGAATGCCCATTGAGGAGAGGGCAAGCTTGTTCTCTGATGCTCCAAAGAGTAGGACACAGAGCCATTGATTCAAATTTGAGGAAAGGAAATTCCACCTGAACATTACAGGAAGGACTTCTTGACCATAAGAGTCGTTCAGCAGTAGAAAGTGCTGCCTGGGAGCATGGCAGAGTCTCCTCCTTGGGAGGGTTTTAAGCATGGAGTTGGACTTTTCAGAATGGTAAAGGGTGCCCATTGAGGAGAGGGCAAGCTTGTTCTCTGATGCTCCAAAGACTAGGACACAGAGCCATTGATTTCAATTGCAGGAAATGAAATTGCACCTGAATATTATAGGAAGAATTGTTTCACGAGTCATTTATGCAATAGGAAATCCTGCCTGGGAGCATGGTGGAGTCTCCTTCTCTGGAGGGTTTTAAAGATGGGGTTGGACTAGATGACCCCTGTGGACTCCTTCAATTCTACAATTCTATTTTTCTATTGTACAATCCCATCCCTATTCATCCCATGGTCATTCTGCCTCTAATACTAATTTTCTGCACACACACACACACACACACACACACACCCCGCCATTTACCTGCTTTGAGGTTGCTAGATGGGCACACCAGTCCCTGGAAGAAACCAGAAGGAAAACTGAGTGAGCCTCTCCTTCAGAATGGAGACGACATTCCAAGGAGGGAACAGACCAGAGGTCTGGGGATAGAACCAAAGAGGGTCCATGATCTCTGTGGGGAGTTGGCTAAGCTCTGAAATGGGCTATGTGTCTTCTCTGGCAGGCTTTATGCCATACACATTGGTTTCTGTGGCTGCAATTCCAGAGTCCAGGCACTCTTTGCCTCCGAGGAGCCAGGTGGGATCCAGGCTGTGTCTTTCAGTCTCCAGGACTGGGCCACTGCTTGCAATGGGACCATAGAAGAGGCCAGAGAGGTGAGGGAGGGCTTCCCCTTCACCTACCTGATAGTCGGCACAAGGTTGGCAAAAAAATGACTGGGGAAACTGGGGATCAAATAGTTTTTTGACTTTCAAACGTTTGTACTCTTGGAGGTGGGAATCGCTTAACACACTTACCTGTCCCAGAGCTGTTGGCTCCTTGGTCACTTCCTGAAAAGGAAACAAAGGACAGTTGGATCAGAAGGTGTATTTTTGTATATCTCTGTGTGTGTACAAACAAATATATGTACATATGCGTATGTATGCATGAATCTGTGTATATTAATACAACCATGCAATTCCAATGCTCAGCAGATAGAGTGTTCAACACCTTTTCTGACCCCCCCCCCCCCCTTCTAGAAGAACTTCATAATGTGAACTTGATCCAGGGAGTGAACATGGAGCTGCCTTCTGCAACGGCTCTTCTCAGTGAAATATCTCTCCTTTCTTCGCTCCTTTCTGGTAGGCCATGGCTTTGCACCCCCCCCCCCCATCCATCTGGTGTAAACATGTAATGGGGAAGCAACACTCACGTGCAGCTGTGGAGTACCCATCTTGATGTTTTTCTGCAAAGACAGAATCAGGGCGTTAAAGCTGACCTTCAGTGGTCAAGACGATCTCACTCTCTGATGAAGGAGACCTCACACCCTCCTCCTCCTCTTTTTAAAGGGTTTCTCCCATTTCTTCTGAGCAAGCCTCCCAGGCTTCCTACAGGAGACATTCGCAGAGATGGATGTGTCCCCAGGCAATGGACAAAGACTCAACCTCATGATGTGGCTGAGAAAGGGAGGTTGAGAGGCCTCCAAGTTGTTGGCTAAGCTGAACTTTCCCGTCAAGAATAGGATCCTCAAGAGGGGAAAATCTCTTCCCCAAAACCACAAATTGCCTATCCCCACAAAAAAATTCATTCAGAATTTACTCACTGAAATAGACAGCAATCCCAGCCATCACAGCGATGAGGAGGAGAACCCCCAGGAGACACCCCATGATGAGCCCCAAGTTGGAGGCTGAAGTTGAAATGGGAAAGAACAAAAGAATTAAGAGGAAATCCACAATCCAAACCCTTTATGGAGCAGGTTGTAGATAGTCAAAGAACTGGGGAGTTCATGGAGACCAAGGCTGAAACAAGTGTAGATTTGTGTACATTCAATGAACAGCCCAGCTCCCATGACCATCTTGCCAGGGTTTGCAGAAGAGGAAGTAACGATATGCAAATGGCTCCAAGAATAAATACTCTAACAAATACAGGGTAAAAGAATAAAGTTTTGTTGTTGGCTTTTGATGTTGAATTTGGAATTTAAATGTTTACAAATTTGTCATCACACCAGTCGGGATTAAAAGCAGAAAGAGTCCAGCTAGTCTTCTCACAGAGAAGGAGATGGGAATGGATGGCCCACAAGGCACTTGCAGGGAAGGAAACACTGGTGTTGAAGACTATACAACTGGGGTCCAATGAGAGATCCCATGGTGCTACGGATGATGCCTCGGAAGGGGGGTTGCCTATTTTGCCCCTCCAACACCTCTCCCTCCTTCCCTCAATTGACTCACCAGGCTCCTCCCAGGCCACGTCCACAGGGTTTGGAAGCCCATCGTGCTCCACGTGGCATTTGTAGCGTTCCCTCTCCTTGGGGTCCACCATGACGCTCCACCAGGTGTAGTAAGTCCCATCCGAGTTGGGGGACACCAGGCCATGGTAGGTATCCTCCATCCAGACCTCCCCATCCTTTGTCCAGGTGATGTCAATCTCCTTGGGGTAGAAGCCCCCCACGGCAGATCAAGGTCTCCATGCCATCATATTCCACCTTGCGTGTCACCTTCACTTCTGGCACCTCTGCAAAGATGACATGAGAATAAGCACAGGGCCTTTCCAAATGATGAGAAAAGTGAATGCTCCAGTTTCGGGGAAGGAAGTTGCCCCCTATATTCAGTATTTGCCCCCTATTATTTAAAAAATCCTGTCAAAGAAGAGGATTCACAAGCACCTTGAGATGCTTTGAGAAATCCCACCCACAGCACAGGAACTCCTGGGTCTCAGGGTGGAAAGCCCAAAGGAAAATTAAGAGTCCATGGCCTTGATATTTTCCATGGGGTGGATTTTGGGCAATAAGGCCATGCTCGGGGGCACCATGTTCTTATGGGTTCTGCAAACTGTCTCCATCTGAAAGGGTCTAACACTCTGCACATGCTCAGATACATTCTAAGACATTTTCCAAATACAAAAAGTCCCAGGGCTCTTCCCTTCACCTCCAGAAGATTCAGGTCAGGAATCCTCTCTCCACTTCCGTCTGACCTTTCCTTCTAAGGAAATCTATCCACTCTGATCGCTTGGGAGAGGTCTCCACAAAAGTGGCTGTGCTAGTCTCTTGAAGCAACTCAATGAGGAGGAAGGAAGGAAGAGAGGAACCTGGCCACAGATTTAAGATTACCTGGTTTTTAATTTAGAATGAGTTTCCAGGGATGCAAAACTACTTCTACAAATGCAATACAGCAGTGTCTCTCAACCTGGGGGTCGGGACCCCTGGGGACGGGGTGTCTGAGAGGTAACCAAAGACCATCAGTATTTTCTGTCAGTCATGGGAGTTCTGTGTGGGAAGTTTGGCCCAATTGTAATGCTGGTAGAGTTCAGAATGCTCTTTGATTGTAGGTGAACTATAAATCCCAGCAATTACAACTCCCAAATGTCAAGGTCTATTTTCCCCAATCCACCAGTGTTCACATTTGGGCATATTGAGTATTTGTGCCAAGTTTGGTCCAGATCCATCATTGTTTGAGTCCACAGTGCTCTCTGGATGTAGATGAACTACAACTCCAAAACTCAAGGTCAATGCCCACCAAACCCTTCCAGTATTTTCTATTGGTCATGGGAGTTCTGTGTGCCAAGTTTGGTTCAATTCCATGTTGGTGGAGTTCAGAATGCTCTTTGATTTTAGGCGAACTATAAATCCCAGCAACTACAACTCCCAAATGACAAAATCAATCTCCCCCCAACCCCACCAGTATTCAAATTTGGGCCAAATTTGGTCCAGTGAAGAAGCAACAACAATTATTTTCTGGTTGGAGGTCACCACAACGTGAGGAACTGTATAAAGGGGTCTAGGAAGGTGGAGAAACACTGACCTGGAGTGATATCAAAGCATTCCCTCAACTGCATAAATATGCTTTATAATCTGATGTTTTAATACAAATCTGCACTTTATCTGAAGGACTGGGTTCACCTCCATGAAAGTGCTGGCTAGAATAAATCCTAGTTGGTCTGAAGTGATGTGCTGCCACATTCCCCCTTTCCTCCCCTTCTCTCTTATGGGGTGCCCCTGTTTTACTTTCTGGCAGGATTTGCCCATTGAGGAGAAAGGCGGAGAGGGTGGACTGTCTCCCTTCAGACTGAAAGAAAAAACATGTCTTGGATTTGCCCATTCAGGCTGAAAGGGGAAAGGAGGCTCCATGTTGGGAGGCTGCTTCATCTGAAACAGGATCCAGCCTCCTGCAAGGAACACATGGAATGAAGCCTCCTTCTGCCATGTTTCTTTCCAAATCTGGGGAAGTCTTCCAAGATGCCCCCCTCCCCTCCTTGCTGCAAAGGCTGAAGAGGAAGGGTCCAGGCTCCCACCATCCCTTTCCTGCCTTCCATTGACATACAAAATGTGGGGGGTGAGAAGGAGATGAAGCCCCTGCAGCCCTCCTCTCCCTCCCCACCCCCATCATGGTTTTCATGAGACTCCCTTCACCTGTCCTCAGCAGGGTCTCCTTCCCATACTCCAGGTATCTCTGCAGCCACTCAATGCACTCCTCCTCCAGGTAGGCCTTCTTGTACCGGTTATCTGCTAAGTCAGCATCCCACTTCCTCTTGGTGATCTGGGCTGGGACATCGGCTGCCGTCCAGGTGAGGGTCTCCTTGTCAAAGCTGATGTAGTCCCTCCCGTCATAGGCATACTGCCAATACCCTCCTTTGCTCCCGTCTCTCCTCAGCTCACAGCCGACCATCCACTGCCAGGTGTGAGTCCCTGGAAGAGACCCCCAGAAAGGAAGGAGGGGGACAAGAGAAGGCCATTAACAAAGGCAGACAAGTCCACTTTGGAATGGTTGGTATCGGATGTCTCTCCCACATTTCTCCCAAACGTTTATGGAAGTTCACAACTCTTTTATTTTCATGAACTAAGAATTCAATGTGTTAAAAGTTAAAAAAGAAGCTTTAAAAAATGTATGGTTTTGCCACTTTAGCCAAGGCCCTGCACCCCAACCCCAGCCAATAATGAATAATGCAAGTGACAACCGGAATGGCTCCTGGAATATGCTGTTGCTTTGTGTTGATCATAAGTAATTGTTTTTAATTGTGTTGATTCTAAGTAATTGTTTTCCAGGAGCCCCCAGTGGCTCAATGGGTTAAACCCTTGTGCCAGCAGGACTGAAGACCGACAGGTCGGATGTTTGAATCCAGGGAGAGTGCGGTTGAGCTCCCTCTGTCAGCTCCAGCTCCCCATGCAGGGACATAAGAGAAGCCTCCCACAAGGATGGGAAAACATCAAAACATCATCCGGGCATTCCCTGGGCAATGTCCTTGCAGACAGCTAATTCTCTCATACCAGAAGCAACTTGCAGTTTCTCAAGTTGCTCCTGACATGAGGAAAAATGGTTTTTAAGCTTCATATATCTTAATTATGTATATGTAGTTTTCTTTTATGTACGTATCTATGGCATTGAATGGAGCCTTTGTTGTGAGCAGTCCTGAGCCCCCTTTGGGGTGAGAAGGGTGGGATAGAAAGGCAATCAACAAAATAAATAAATAAATAAATATGTAGGCTTTCTTGTACTTTAAACTCTATTGGCTTTAACCACATAGAAACTGCTTTGAATCAGAGTATTGGGGAGGGGGGGGTTGGAGGGGTGTGTGTGTGTGAATTTTCCACAATTTGAACAAATGTAATGGAAAATCATGAGAATGGGTTTTGCTTCATTCCTGGACACCAATTTCTGTGAGCATCGTTTACTAAAACATGAAGATGTTTATGTTCTGTGAAGCTCATTTTGTAATACCATCCTAGGCAAGTTCACTTACAAGCAAATCTCAGCCTAAATTGTCTGAGGCTTCCTCCCAAACACTTCCTTGGAGGAAAAAATTGTAAATGTGTACATTAATTGAAGGTTCTAATAGAAAATCACCTGAAGGGCAAAACTTAAAACCAATCAAGCCCAAAGTGGAATATGACAGAAGAGCGTGGGGGTGAGAGGCATGGGCTTGATTTTTATTTCCTGTCTCCAGGTACCCGGAATCCTCACTTCCCAAGATGCCTTTGCTCTTCCTTTTCCCACTCACAGAAACAGGCTGCGTAGAAGAGGCCCACGTTTCCCGTGGAAGGCTGTGCATCCCTCCTCTCTCTGGGATCTCTCTCTGGGTGAGGAGGGGGGGCATCTCTTATTTTAGGGCCGGCCTTAAAACAGTAAGTTAATCACCAGCTCCAGCTGCAGTCCATCTTGCCAGCTGAAAGGTTGGCAGTTCAAAGCTCAGTCAGGGTGAGTGCCTGACCTTCAGCCCAGCTCCCCACTCACCTAGCAGATTGAAAACAGCAATGTGAGTAGATGAATAGGAACTGCATTGAGCAGGGAGGTATTTTAGGCATGGCTTTGGGAGGAAAGTTTGCTATTTGGCAAGGAGCAAAGAAAGCTATTTGGCAAGGAGATGGAGCAACAGCACCCCCCTGTGACCGGAACTGAACACAGACTCCAAAAATGCTGAATGATGAGAAGAAGCCAATATATACTATCTGTTGTTTGCCTTATATGTGTTCTGTGATCGACCCTGAGTCCCCTTTGGGATGAGAAGAGTGGAATAGAAGTACAACAACTAAATAAAACAATAATAATGTTACTCTCCCAGCCTCTGGGGGACCTTCCCCTAGAGCAGTGGTTCTCAACCTGTGTGTCCCCAGGTGTTTTGGCCTTCAGCTCCCAGAAATCCTAACAGCTGGTAAACTGCCTGGGATTTCTGGGAGCCCTTACACCGAGCCCTATATCCCAGATCTTAAGGCAGAACATTCCACATTATCCAAATAGCCAGATAACCCAGTTCAAAGCAGATATTGTGGGATTTCCTGCCTCGATATTCTGGAATGTAAGGCTGTGTGGAAGGGCCCTGGGAGTTGTAGGCCAAAAGACCTGGGGACCCACAGGTTGAGAACCACTGCCCTAGAGGTTTCTTTGGTGGAGGTGGGGAAGGGGAGGCAGCCCAGTGGTGCTCCTCCCTCTTCCAGATGGAGCTGCCAAGGGAGACCCTTCTGTTTGTGGTGCATCCCTTCACTTGCCTTTTCTTTGGGCCTCCTCACACTTGAGCATTTTTCACCTTCAATCCACTTTGGATGCTGTGACTGCTTCCTGCCAAATTCTGGGAATTGAAGGAGGGCCAGGGCTTCTCTGGACAAGCGGTTTGAAGGCCTCTCAATAAACTACAAGCTCTACAATTCTGTAGGAGGCAGTCACAGCATTGAAAGTGGACTGAAGGGGGAAAACACTCAAGGGTGAGAGGCCCTTATTAATCCCAGCAAGCTCTGCTTTCCATTCCCTCTTTCGGAGAGGAAGAATTACTTAGATGGGGAGGAGTGGTGCCCCGTCCCTTCCACTCACCTCCACTCTGGTTGTAGTATTTGGCTGCAGTCACCAGGTCCACTCGGAAGACTTGCTCAGCATTCTGAAAATTCCGGTTGTTCAGCTCTGGGTACCGAGGGTCTTCCTTCTCTACTTTGGTCATCCAGGGAACTTTAGAAATATATTTTCTTGTCTTGGTATCATAGGACACAAACTCCTGGCCATCCACGTAGCCCACCGCGTAAAACTGGGGCACCTTCTGGCCAGGCTCAGAGACACCAGTGTAGACATAGTGCATGGAATGGGGGGAGGAGGAGCCTGGAAAAGAGGGAGGAAGGAGGCCTTGTTGGAATACCCAAGAGGGCAGGCTTGGTGCCAGAAGGAGGCAAGAGGAGGGGCCACAGGGGCATGGCTTTCCATTTCAAAATAATAATAATAATAGTAATAATAATACTTTATTGATACCCCGCCACCATCTTGGCCTTCCATGAGGCCAAGCCACATCACATCAGCAAACAACAAAGCAGCAAGCAAGTAGCAAGGGAGGGTCCCCAAGAGGGTCCCTAGGGTTGCTTCCTTCTGGGAGGGAAGTGCCTGGGAGCCAGGAGGGGCCCCTTCCTTCCCTTCCTGGCGGGGATTGCCATGGGGAGGGGGAGAGGGAGGGGGAGGGAGGGGCCCCTCTCCCCCGCCCCACAAGAAAGAGAGAAAGAAGGCAGGGCAGGGCAGAGCCTTAGGCTCAAGAGGAGGACACCCTACCCCCTCCCTTCCCCTCCCCCATTTCCACTCACTGGACCCTCCCCCCGCCAGGAGGGCCGCGCAGCCCAAGAGGAGGAGGGGGAGGGGGAAGGGAGGGGCTCCCCGGGACGCAGCCATCTCCCTCTCCCCTTCTCTCTTTCCTTTTTTCTCTCTCTTTGGGCCAAACTCCGGAGCGAGGAAGGAGCGCTTCTCTCTCTTCGCAGCCCAGCCCAGCCCTGCCAGGGAGGAAGGCCAGGATTGGCTCAAAGGGAAAGGTTCCGCCAATCGAAAAAGAGAGATCCCGTGCCGTCACCGGGTGCTGGGCAGAAGCCCGGCCGCAGGCGGACAACAGGCTGGAAAGGGAAAGAGAAAGTGAGTGGATCCCAAGCGCTTTCGGGAATCCCCTAGGATTAGGAAGGAGGGGGAGGGGGAGAGTGGCTTTGGGAAGGCTTTGAGAAATCAAATGACCCCGAAGTCATAGAATCCTAGAGTTGGAAGAGACCTCGTGGGTCATCTAGTCCAACCCTATTCTTCCAAGAAGCAGGAAAATCGCCTTCAAAGCACCCATGACATCCAGCCTCTGCTTCAAAG